CTTAGGGCAGCGTGTGTAGAGGAGGGTAGGATGCGTCATCTTACAGAAGTGCCGAGGAGATAAAATTGGCAAGACTTAGTGTTTGAAAGTGGTGAAAACTTTGGAATTTTAGGCATTAAGCCATAAAAATCTAATGAATTTTTAAACGGATTTTATTTATTTATTCACGAGAGACCCAGAGAGAGAGGCAGAGACACAGGCAGAGGGAGAAGCAGGCTCCCTGCGGGGACCTCGATGCGGGACTCCATCCTGGGGCCCTGGGGTCATGACCTGAGGCAAAGAAGCCGCTCAACCACTGAGCCACCTAGATATCCCATGAATTTTTCTAAATAGGGGAGGAACATGATGGAAGTGATATTTCTGAAAAGTTAATCTGTGTGTGGCTCATAGCATATGCTACCTTCTATTATCCATCTATTTATAGCCCTGTCTCTCTTAGCAGGTCACAAGCCTTTTGATGGAAGGGACCTGATTTTATTCTTCCTTATATATCTGGGGGTTAACTACACTACACGCCAACTTACTGTTATCCAATAAACAGATAATGATGATGATGATGTGGGACTGGACTGCGAATGGACAAGAAAACATTTTAGGAAAATACATGAAGAAAATCACACTAAAACACTTATTCTTAATTTTTTAAACCCTTATTACATCAAAAGTTGTTTACACTTGCTAAATGTCTAGAGTGGTATTTTAGTAACCTAGTGAATTATCTCCCTCAAAACACCAGCTAGTCTTATTCAGTGGCGAAGCAAGAGGGGCACTCAAGGGGGAAAAAAAAAGTGATAACACAAGGGAACGACTATCGATCATCACGAATATTTATCATTGTCTTGTCAACGTAACCATATTTTGAAAGATAGATAATGAATATTGGAAAGGAGACCACAGTATTATTATTATTAGTTGATATGCTCGTCCCCCCGGAAAACTGCGGAGAAGCGAGCAAAGAGATACCAGAATAAAGGATTTCTGTAAGTTTGCCTTCTGTCCTCCTGTTTACAATTAAACGGTCTTTTGAATATGGTCAAAGTGGCACTTTCTCCATGAGGGCAACGCCCAGGGAAGAGGGGGTGGAGGAGGGGGTGGAGGACGGGGCTCTAGGGAACCGGCTCCCAGTTACTCCGGAGCTCAGCCGTTTACTGTCAACTATTCATTCAACAAACCTCTATCGCCGCCCTCGCGCCCTTTCCATCCCCCATATGAGGTCACCGACTCAGGAGCTTGGGGTTTGCCCCCCCTTCTCACCTAGGCCAGTTCCCCGTCAGGCTCTGGGACGCGTCACGGGGAAGACTCGGGCTGCTGGGGCGCCCCGCACCTGTTCGCTTGCACTTTCATAGTAGCAGAATAGTGCACTGTGTGCGCGGTGTGTGTGCGCACGGAGTGTGTGCGTGGTGTGCGCGCAGTGTGCGTGAGGTGTGCGTGGTGTGCGCGTGCGCGGAATCTGTGCGGTGTGAGTACGGTGTGCGTGGTGTGTGCAGGGTGTGCGTGCAGAGTGCGCGTGCAGAGTGCGCGGTGTGCGCGCGGTGTGCGCGCGGTGCGCGTGCGCGGGTGAATGCGTCGCGTGGACGTGGGGCCCGCCGAGAGACGCGACCGCCGGCTCCCGGGCCCTCCGGGGAGGAGCGGCGTGGGGGCCTGAGGCGCTGCGGAACTGTGAGTGGCTGTGGTGGCCCGGGGGCGGCGGGTGCAGGCTGCCAGCAGCGCACCCAGGGGCGCCCGGGTTTGGGCGGCAGCGAGCGGCCGCGGGGAGGCCTCTGGGTACCACAGGGAAGGCGGCCCTGAGGCGGCGGCGTCACGGGGAGCGAAGAGGCCGCGGCCGAGGGCGGCCCCCGACGGACTCTGCACCCCGAAAGCCAAAGCCGGACTCCAGGGGCCTGCGTCCCGGGACGCGCGGCCGGAAGGGCTCTCAGCGGAGAGGCTGAGCCGGGCCTCCGGAGGGCCTTGTGTGCTCAGCGGGCCGCCAGCGACCGGGTGGGGGAGGGGGCGACGGAATGGGGAAGGGGAGTGGGAGAGGGGGAGGAGCCGACCGAGGGGGGCAGAGCTGCCGCAGGTCCGCGTGCTCCGGGCCGGGGACAGCGTGCTGGACAGCTGGCCACGGACCCCAACGGCCCTGAAGGGAAGCGGCCCGAGGGAGGCGACCTACGACGGCCGAGGAGGAGGGCAGAGAGCAGAGAAGCTGCTAGAAGCAAGCAAGGCCGCGGACCGAGGCCAAGGGAAGCCTACAGAGGCCAGAGGAGCCACGAAGACCCCAGGCTCGAACGTCACAAGTCAGAGGAAGAGAGACTTTCAAGGGGGCTCCCTTCGGCCCAGGGCGTGACCCGGGGTCCCGGGATCGAGTTCCGCGTCGGGTTCCCCGTAGGAGCCTGCTCCTCCCTCTGCCTGGGTCTCTGCCTCTCTGTTTGTGTCTCACGAATAAATAAATTTTTTTATAAAAAGTAAAATCCCTAAGCCCCCATATGGGAATATGGAAGGGGCTGGTCCACGGGCGGTCCTGACGCCACGCTCCCTTGGTCTGAACGCGGATCCTGCTGCCGCTGAGCGAGGTGACCCTGCAAGCTGCTTACCTTTCACACGCAGCCGTGTTCGCATCCGTCGAATGGGAGAGTAACAGCACCCACTGGTACGGGGCTGTTGCGAGAATATGTGAAAGGCCCTGGCACAGGTAAGTCCCGTGAAGTGTCAGCTGCTGCTGCGACCACCGTCGTTACATACCGCGACGTCTTTGTTGGGTCGTTTAAGAACGACACGTTCTGCCAAGGGAAATAAGAGAAACAAGCAGTATAAGGAGGAAATAGGAAGTTAAAGTAGAAGCGAATAGTCTGCGACCTACAGTGATAGTGCGCACTGGAGCCAAGCGCACAGGAAGGGCTGAGAAGTCTGAGTGTGCACCAAATATTCTTGGTGCGTAAATGTTCGCGAAGCCCATGAGAATCATGAACCCATTCAGTTACAATGGCTACTCACGGGTGACACCTACGAAGCTTCCAGTCGTTCTTTGCCTGAGAAATGCCCACCGCACCCAAGCTCCTCAGCAGGGTAACGGGTGAGCTGGACCTGGGCTCCACGCATCTCCTGCCTGGGCTCCGTTGAGAAAGCATTCCTTGGCCCTGGCACCGGGCACGGTCTGTCAGGGCCCCTCCCCATCCCACCTGGGCTCCGGTCCTTGCACCCAGCCCAACGACCCAAGGAAGGCTGAATCAAGAAGAGCCGGGGGTGGGGTGGGGCACAGGTTGTATTCATATTTCATAACATAGACCACCTACTTGTACCTTATCCTTTTTTTCTTGTTTTTGAAAAACTTTATTTACAAAACTTCCACATCTTTAGACTTAGCCAGTGGGAGGTAGTTTGCTAAGGACCTGATTTTGAAAAAATCTTGATACCTTTAGACTAAAAGACAGTACAGATGAAGAAGGAAAGGAAGAAAAGGAAAAAGTAAAGGCTGGGTAATCCTTGTTTTTAGAACAGAAACAACAGAGCACCTGAATGTTTGCACCCTATCCTGTGTTCATCTACCCTCACTTTTCCCCCTGGCTTTTTTTTTAATTTTTTTTAATTGGAGTTCAATTTGCCAACATATAGCATAACACCCAGTGCTCATCCGGCCAAGTGCCTATCACCCAGTCACCCCAACCCCCCCGCCCACCTCCCTTTCCACTACCCCTTGTTCGTTTCACAGTTAGGTGTGTCTCATGTTTTGTCACCCTGATATTTTCACTCATTTTCTCTCCTTTCCCTTTATTCCCTTTCACTAATTCTTATATTTCCCCAAATGAATAAGACCATATAATATTTGTACTTCTCTGATTGACTTATTTCACTTTTCCCTGGCTTCTTACCCTGTGTTGTAAAATGATTCAAAAAGCAAGTGATTTCAACATCTTAATTTTGTTTGTGCATCTTTCTGTGCAGTGACCCCCGGGAGAGCCTGCCTGGCCGTCTGCTTGGAAGCTGAGCACCACACTCAGGAGTAGGGCGATGCAGGAGCAGCATCTAGTTTCTCCCGCTCCCTTCCCCTCTTTCCATATGCAGGAGGGAGCTTAAGCCATATTAGGTCTACAATCTGTTCACTTTCTTCTTTTTTTTAGGTTGCTTCTTTAATAGTTGGACAGGAAAGAATGAGGATTCTAGTAAGATAGCCACCCATTGGGTAGTTTGCGAGCGGTCAGTTCCAGTAATGCAGCAGGAAGCCACACTAGACCAAAACCTCATTCTCTGACAACCCACCTTCATCACTTTTTTTTTTTTTTATTTACGATAGTCATACAGAGAGAGAGAGAGGCAGAGACACAGGCAGAGGGAGAAGCAGGCTCCATGCACTGGGAGCCCGACGTGGGATTTGATCCCTGGTCTCCAGGATCGCGCCCTGGGCCAAAGGCAGGGCGCTGCGCCACCCAGGGATCCCCATCACTTTCGTTTGACGTTTTAGCATTCGCTGCCTTTGTCTTGATTTTGTACAAAAGTATTGCAGCTGGACTTACCGTGAGGCTAAGGTAACGTAAGATTCTGGGCCCTTCCTGGGCTTCGGAGGGCTACAGGGACTTTGTGATTTTGTTTCATTCTTCCTAAAGAGGGGTGTCAAATCCTAACGCTTCCAGGGCCTGTGGAATTGTCAGTAGGATTTCGTGGTTAGGACCTTAGTCCTGGAGATAAAGACTTGTCTCCCTTTCATTAATAATCGTGGATAGGCCACAGCAAGTCGCAGCCTCGGTTCTGTCCGTTGTCAGATGGGGTGGCACCTGCACCTCGAGGACTACGCTGACGGCAAGCGGGCCTTGGCGTCTCATCCGCGCGGGAATGTCCCTGTGAGTCGTTGCTGCACCGAGGGAAGGCCACCTTGCAGCAGCCACACCCCGCCCCCGCTTCGCGTCTGACCAGAAGGATGACGCCCATTGCGCTCCGGGGGCGCCACCCGCGCTCACGCGCACACTCGCCAGCACCTTCCCACATGCGAGGCTGCTCCGGCCTCGGCGCCCCCCCCCCCCCCCCCGCAGCTACCCTCCGCCGCTGCAGCCGGTGAGCACGGTCGGCCGCGTCTGCGCAGGCGGCCCCGAGGTACCGCGCCGGGCGGGGTGACGGGGGCGGGGGACGCAGACGACCCGCGAGCGGGCGCCCCCCCACGCGCCTCCCTCCCCGGGAGCCGGGCCCGCGCCGCCAGCTTGGGGAGGGCGCCGGGCGCTTTCCGCTCCTCCGCGCGTCCCCGTGGGGCAGGCCCCGGGGGCCCCGGGGCGGGCGGGAGGCCGGGAGGAGAGGCCCCGACGCATCCGCCGCCGCAGGAGGCGGAGCGCTGTACCTGGCGGCGGATCCTCGGCGCTCGGTCCCGACACGGGCGCAGCCGGCGGCGGGCGGCAGAGGCACCGGGCCGCGTAGACAGAGGGGAGACGGCCGCCGCGGGTTGCCCAGTCGGCACCGCCCTGCCCGCCGCAGCCGCGCCGAGCCCGAGATGATGCGCGCTGCCCCGCGCCAGGGGCAGAAGGCGCCCCGCACCCCGCGCAGCTGAGCGCCGGCGCCGCCCGCAGCAGGTGAGCCGGGCCGCGCGGGGAGGGGGCCTCGGCGGGCGGGGTGCTCCCTGCGGCGGCGCGCACCTGCGGGCGGGGGAAGGGGCTCGGCGGCGCGCACCTGCGGGCGGGGGGAGGGGGATCGGCGGCGCGTATCTGCGGGCGGGGGAGGGGGGCTCGGCGGCGCGCACCTGCGGGCGGGGAGGAGGCCTCCGCGGCCTGCACCTGCGAGCGGGGAGGGCATCTCGGCGGACTGCATCCGCGGGTGGGGAGGAGGCCGCGGCGGCGCGCACCTGCGGGCGGGGAGGGGGCCTCGGCGGCGCGCACCTGCGGGCTGGGGGGAGGAGGCCGCGGCGGCGCGCACCTGCAGGCAGGCTGGGTAGGAGCCTCGGCGGCGCGCACCTGCGTTTGGCGGGGATCGGCAGCGCGGGTCCCTGCGTGGGCAGGTGTGCGCGTCCCCGCTCCCCCCACCCCAGCGGCCTCCGAGTTGCTCGTCCTCTTCTCGGGGCGCCGGGGAGGCTGCAGCTGGCACCCCGGGCGCCCGGCTCGGGCGGCACTTCCGTACACGTAATTGCGGGAGGGAAACAAAGGCACGGCCGGAGGGAGCGGTCGCCGGGCGGGGGCAGCGGCGGGGGGCGGGCTGTGCCCCGTGCGCCGAGGTCCAGGCCCTTGTTCGCCCAGGCCGCCCGGCGCGCGGGCCCTAAACATCCGCAGGGGGCGAGGAGCGAGGACCTCCGGGCGGCCCGGCGGCGGCAGCGCGACCGGCAGCGCGACCGGCAGCGTGAGTCCCCAGGTGAACACATAGGAGGTCTCCCCGGCCCTCCCCCAGGCCTGCGGGCGTCGCGCTGCTCCACCAAAGCCTAACGCGGTCTGACGCGTCCCTGAGCTCTTGAAGTACTAACGGGGGTCACCGGCCTTTCTGGGCCCCGTATAGCCCCCAGCCCCCTGTAGTTTTCCGGAGGAAGGCGAACATTTTCAAATGCAACTTACCCCCTCGTTTATCTCTCCCCACGCAGACAGGCAGGTGGATTGATTACCCTTAAGGCAGGCACACGGCGCAGCCTACCTCTCCCACACGCGTTCACAACCACGGGCTTTTCCTTTTTATCTAGAAATATTTAATCAACACCTTACAGACCTCCTGGAACAGGTAAAGCCTTGCCTAATGGTTTTGGCGAAAAAAATGTTCAAGAGTTGAGTTGTAATGACAGTTGGTGTCCAAAGAGTCGTGTGTCCTTGGGCTTGTCACACCTTGGGCCTCAGTTTTCTCACATGTAAAAAGAGATGGATGGATGGGAGAGCGGCCACCGTTCTCCTTAATTGTTCAAGAAGTTCCGGATTTTGTGGAAATCTGATGTCAACATAGATTACAGTTGACCAACCACAGCTGTGTATTTAGCAGATTGCTGGTGTCTGCAGAGCATCCTTCCCCCAAGACACTGGGAGCTAGCCAGCTAAACGTGTGCATCACTGACGGCCTTGCTAAGTAAGGGAGAGGACGGAGCCCTAGTCATTGGTAAGATTGGCTTTTGAGCAGCTGGCCATTAGCAGACATGCAGGATACCTCCAGTCATTGAGATAGCCAGATGTCTTGTGTTTATCGCAAGCTGGAAGGAAGTAAAATTTAGGATTGCTTAGGAGGAGGCTGGAACATTGCTGCTGAGGCCACTGCAAGACGCTGGGGGAGTAGCACAGAGGATCCAATTTCAATAATGCATTAAAGCTAACAAGCGTGTTTACAATAATTTATTCCTAAGGTCTTTTCAGTTTCTATACAGATAAGGCAAACTAAAACACAAAGACACAAGCCAGTTCTGCACGTTTGGTGGTATGAGGTGTTGGGTCACTAAGTCTGTCTGGAGTGTTGATAGTAATAAGGCATTTTTTTGAGTGCTTACTGTGTTCAAAACACCGTCTTCCACACTTAATTTCTAAGTCTCTGTGATAGAAGTCTTTCCCCCAGCATCGTGGATGATGAAAGGGAAGCTGAGAAGACTTAAAAGAGTTACACAAACCACATAATCTCAGTGAGAAGGGGAGTTAGATTTGACCCCATGTCTCTGGCTCCAAAGCCTAGGAAATTCCCACATGATGTTCCTCCTCATTCAGGGTCCATGGGCCTCACCACTTACACAGGTGGCCTCTTTTGCTTTTTGACTTTGAAAATTAGCTATATTTCAGTGTATGTATATTAGATATGTTAACATTTATCTATGTAAGGTAATCTATAGATTTATGTCGGGTGCATATTAATGCATGTATATTTACCCATTTGTTCTCACCATTTTTAGGTTGAAGGCAAGTGTAAGAAAAATGAAAATAACCAAGGACATATTTAGTATTAGGCTGATGGGTTTTTTTTTGGTTTTACTTCTTTCTATACTCCGTAAATCTTGATTTAGCAACTGAGCGTAAAGAAAGGGAGATATGCAATAAATGTAAATATCTCTGTTAGTCACTTTGGTACATTGGCTAGGGAAAAATCAAGATACAGTACATTAAAAAAAGGAAATTGAAAAAGAAATTTATATCTGTGTATTTTATGCAGGCACGCATACACCACATTGTCCCCAAACCATTCACATTGCCTACCTGAAGGAAGGGCGATGCGATGATAAGAGGGTGCTTTTACTTTTTTCTTTATGAAGTTAGGTTTGGACTTGTTTTTTAAGGGTCTGTGTCAGCCTGATTTGTTGCCCTAAATCCCGAACGGCACATAATGTGGTACTTTAGCCCCCAGTAACATTTACTCCCTAGCTGGTTTTTCTTCTTTATATCTAGAAGACACTTCTCTACTCTATTGTCAAATGGCACTGGCTTAGTTTAGTTGGCCAGGAAGCTTTTGGAAACTGTCAGGGTCGTTTGTTAAGACGATGATTTATTGGTGCAGAGCCCAAAAGAGAAAAGCAAAGCAAACCAAAATCTATAGGTGAAACACCTGAACCTTGATCCTATCTATCGATATGTGTTTGCTGTAGATATTGCAGCTGTCATGCTAGCTTGTGGGTATGTGCAGCTCCCATGCACACCCACACCCCCTGTCTCAGCACCCACGAAACCTTCCCAGAGTTTTGGATTAAAAGTAGCCTCCTCCTGCCTGGGTCCCGCGTGCCGGGCAGGATGTGGGGAGGACTGTTGAAAGGGGGTCTGAGGCTTGCATAGGTGCCTCAGGCCCTGGCAGCCCCGCCATGTTTTATGGAGGCTGGGGGTGCTGGGATGGGACAGGATGGGGCCATCGGGTTGAGATCCGGGCTCTGAGAAAGGTACCAAAGAGGATGGATAGAGGATGGCCCGGACACCTTTGTGGACCTGTGTTCCTGCGTGTGTTTGAGAAGGGACAAACAATTCAGGGTTGGCAAGTAGAAGACAGGCAGGTGCACCTTTGAATGACTCAGAGGAGGTGTTTGATCCGAGGCCCAAGCGGGGTGGGGGCCAAGTGGAGCCTGGCCCTGGTGAGTCAGCGGCTGAGGGACTGGCCTGGCTTCGGGGGGGCAACAGGAAAGCTGGAAGGGGGACCGAAGCTGTCCCAGCAGGCTTGCTGTGTGGCCCAACCGTGCCAGGGGTGGGGCGGGAGGGCGGGCACCGCGGCCCTGCCCTCCCTGGGCCTTGTCTGGGCCTTGCCCGGGTGCCGCAGGAGCAGGACGGACAGGTGGCCAGCCCCGAGCACGGGGACCAAGCTGGGCCGGGCATGCCTGGGGACAGGGTGACGGTGGCACTCACTCGGGCCGGAGGTGAGCAGGGCCCCTCAACGCTCGCAGCCCCGCTGACGACGGTGGCACGAGGTGGCCGCGCACACCTGTGGCCGGAGTAGCCCTGGCCTGCTCCCACGGGAAGCTTTCCAGCCTCTGGGCAGCCCCTTCTTCCTTCCATTGGGAAGTAGTTTCTGTGGAGCTGTGTCAACGAGCAAGTGAGACCCGAGTTCACCTTTATGAGGGAGTTTGAATAAAAGATTTTGTGGCCATACTTTCAGAGAGTAAAAATGAAGTGCACTTTAATTTTATTTACTATATGAACAGGTTCTCTATATTTTGAAGGTGTGACATCTTTTTTTAACATTTTTTATTAATATAGCAGAAGTGTAATGTTAAGTTAGTTGTAGGCCTGACGCAGCGGCTTGAGGAGGCCGTAGTCCTGGCATGCTTCCGCAGCGTTAGTTACCACGCGTCGCCTTACGGAGTTGGTGCCGTGGTACTGACTATTCCCTGTGCTGTGCTTTCCATCCCCATATTACCTGGCAGTTTCTACCTCTCAATCCCCTCTATCTGTTTTGTCGATTCTCTCAATGTCCCTCCCAGCTGGCAACAGTTCACTGTATTTATGAGTCTGATTATATTTTTTGTTTGTTCCTTCCCTTTGTTTTTCAGATTCCATAAGTGAAATCATATGGTATTTGTCTGTTTGACTTGTTTCATTTAGCCTCAGACCATGTGGGTCCATCCATATTGTTGCAAACGGCAAGATTTCATTGTTTTTTTATGGCTAATATTCCATTGTATGTGTATATACCGCCTCTTCTTTATCCACTCATCCGTGGGTGGATGCATGGGTTGCTTCCACAGCGTGGCTAGTGTAGCTAATACTGGAATAAACTGAGAGACATACACGTTTTCCAGTTTGTGTTTTCATCTTCTTTGGGTAAACACCCAGCAAACTGGATCCTGTGGTGGTTCCATTTTTAATTTTTTGAGGAGTCTCCATTGTGTTTTTCATAGTGTCTGCACCAATTTACATTCCATCAGCAGTGCACAGGGGTTCCTCTTTTTCCACATTCTTGCCATCATGAAGATAGAAAATCTTTTAAAAATGTCTAAAATTCTTAGACTTTTCAGTTGTCTCTACAAGTAAATGGGATCAGCCCTTTCAATATAGCAACTCCTGTGGCTTTTCAGGAACTCCAGGATCAAGGAGTGTCCTGATTGTAACCCAAATGCTTTGTTTTTAAAATAATGCCTCTTTTATATGCATTTTTTAAAGTGATAAATGCTCACTGGAGGAAAATCCAGTAAAGTATAAGAAATTAAAGTAACTCCTAACTTTTCAGAGATAGGCTACTAACATGATATTTTTTTCAAGTCTTTCTAAAACATATTTCACATGAAGTAGGCATTATCGTAAGTATAAACTCTTAGGATATATAGGGGTTTGCGTCCTGCTTTTTCTAGCTTAAAATAATGCAGAGATCATGAGCATTTCTCCATATTCTATATTAACTCAGTTCTTTTAAGTTCTGTTTTGCTCTCATAGGGCTGTACCACAACATCTGTAGCTTCTCCTATTGCTGATTGTATCCTGTGCTGCAGTTCTGATGATTATGAAAACTCCTGAAATGAATATCCCTGCACTTGAATCTTTGCATTCTAGAAAAGCTCTACTTCTCTCAGTGAATGAGAGAAACCTTGCCTACCATTCCATCTTTAGCAGGGCTGAATATTTTCATTTCCAAAGGTATTGGTAGGGCATGTGTGTATTTTCACTTGAATGGGCTGGGTAGTCAGTCTTTTCTGAAAGAAACTGGTAGCTCATGTTAACTCTCAAGTTAGCAGAGTTCTAACTGTATGAGAAGCTGTTTTAGATTACATATACTGGAATGTGCTGAGGTTATAAATTATTGTTTTAGATGATAGCTTTTAGGGGATGTAAGTAAAAATCATAGATCGTAGCTGCATGTCTGCAGAAAAATGTACTTTAAATGTTGAGGTTTGTATTTTGATCTAAATTATAAATTCAGGACACCTGGATGGCTCAGCGGTTGAGCACCTGCCCCTGGCTCAGGGCATGATCCGCGGTCTCGGGATCGAGTTCCGCATCGGGCTCCCTGCATGGAGCCTGCTTCTCCCTCTGCCTGTGTCTGTGCTTCTTTGTGTCTTTCATTAATAAGTAAATCTTTTAAAAAATTATAAATTCATGAAAGATGTATCTGAGCACCTATAAATTTCTGTTTAAAATGCCTTGTCTAATGGATAGACTGTAATTTCTTTGACTCTCTTCATGTCCTCAGTGTCTTAACAGTGTCAGAACGGCAAGTAGTAGCAGCAGTCTCCTACTGACCAGGCTTCGATCAAGTACCCGTGTGTGTGCGCGCGCACGTGCACAAACCTAGTGTTTTATTTTTTTAAAGATTTTATTTATATATTCATGAGAGAGAGAGAGAGAGAGGCAGAGACACGGGCAGAGGGAGAAGCAGGCTCCATGAGACTCAATCCTGGGACCCCAGGATTATGCCCTAGGCTGAAGGCAGACGCTCAACCGCTGAGCCACCCAGGGATCCCTCTGACCTAGTGTTTTATTACTAATAACCTAGAGTTGTGTTTTTATTTCTCCTTATAATTCCTATTTTGCACAGTCTGCTTGTCCTGTGTTCCTAGTGTTTTTAGATCTTGAATCCATTGTCCTATACTAATATATTTACCTGAGTCCTTTTCTGAAAAGACTTGAAAGTGTCTCTGTATGAAACAGATTCACATAACAAGGTTCAATGATAAACCAAAAAGCATTTGAATAGAATTGTAATTTAATTTTTTTTAATTAACGTATCTTCTATATGAATTGCTTCTCAGATATAGGAAACAAAAATTTATTGAGGAAAGGCTTTCTCTAAAACATTAAGCAAATAACTTCTTTCGGTATGAACCGTTTAAAAATCTTTCGTCTCACGGTTGGGAAAGTTAAGTCTAAGATTTTCTGTGTTGGCTTCTCAGCAAAGAAACAAAGCCTGCGTTTGTCTTCATTGGAACAGCGAATGATCAGGTGACAGCCCGTTCTCAGGAGTTGCGGGAGGACTCACGGGTCCCTGGCCGCTGTGGCCTGTGTCCAGGGTCCCCAGGCCGTCCTGCCCAGGAGGGCCTCTCCGGCAGGGCCTGTTCTGTTACCTGCAGGGGTTCTCAGGACGCCGGGTCAACGTTCATGGGTTTTCCAGGCTTTCAGGGGCAAAGCAGTGGCGCTGTTAGGGTCCCCGTCTGGGAGGAGACGCGTGATGGAAAGCCGGGAAGGGTCACAGTGACATTTGACAATGAGTAGAAGGCAACTGCGAGAGTCATCTGCTTCCTGCTCTCAAACACCTGGAGCCTCGGGGCTCCCGCCTGCACGTGTGGCCCCAGAGGAAGCCGTGACTGGGGGTCCGCGCCGGGCTGCGGGGGGTTCAGGAGGGGCCTCTGGGGCAGTTGTGCCGCAGGCCAGACCGCAGGAAGGGTTTCCTCTGATGTAGAGGCCAGTGGGCAGGTGCAGGAGGCTCCTGGCCGCGGGTTGTGAGCTCGAGCCCCATGGCGGCGGCATAGACGTTACTTAAAACCTGTGAGTGAGCCAGTGAACGCGCGCGCGCTGGCGCTTGGAGAGGAGCATGCTGAGGCGCTGGGGCCTGGGGCACCCTGACCCGGCCCCCGGGGATGCCGAGGTGCCTGGTCCCGGCCAGCTGCCTGCTCCATCCCCAGCCCTGTGCTGGTCACCGTGCTTGGGGAGCTGCTGGGCTCGGGCCTCTCCCGGGGCTGCCCCCGCCTCCCTTGGGTGCTGCCCTCGGGGGACCCGCTTGGGGCTCGAAAGGCCTGCTCGTGCTGTGACTTGAACCGTGTCCGTCCCTTGCCCCGGGCTTGTGTGAAGCGGGAAGTTGCGCAAAGCCGAAGAAGGGAGCGTGGCTCTGGGGCCTGCTTCGAGTTCCCAGAACGAGCCCCTGGCCCGGCACCCAGCCCGCGGCCTAAAACCAACGATGGGGAGTTTGCTCCCGTGATGCCTGATAGGGTCCAGTGACCTCAGCGACAGGCTCTAAATTATATTTAGTTGTGTCTTCCACAAAGTGAAAGTGAAAATCCCCGTGGCCCTTCTGACTAGAGCCACCTTCAGGGACCATTTCCTCCCCACAGCTGCACCCTGCGGCGGCCACAGGGCCTTGTTCCCTTCACACGCTCCGGCGGTGGGAAGGGGGCCCGGTTAGGATTTCAGCCCCTCTCCTTCGCGTTGAATATGTTACATACATAACTAGAATGTTCCTATGGGGGCCGGAGAGACCCGGAGAAGCCTGGTCACCCCTCCAGCCCCTGGGCCGCAGTGCAACCTCTAGGGAGGGGGCTTCCTCCCCAACCCCACGCCCCTCCCCTGCCCAGTAAAACAGGCTGAGGATGTGGAAATGAATATAAACATAAAGTCAGTCTCGCTCTTGCTCTCTCTAAAATAAAATAAGTCTTTAAGAACCGGAAAAGAAAAATGCTTTGTCATGCATTATTTCATTTGAGCCTTAGGATCCGATCCCTCTGAGTTAGTTGACTTGGGTTTGTGTTCTGCGCCCCGTTTCACAATATGAATAAAGAGGAAGCTCAAAGAGGCACTGATTTGTTAAAGCCAGGAGAGCAACTGGAGCTTCTCTCTGCACTTCCTAAAATTAATCTCCGTCACGTTACACTTTAGTAAAGTGATATATAGGTACATATACGTACGTATATGTATATAGACCACCGCCAGGCGCTTGTCAGTCTTTATTGAGACTTGCCCTTTGGCAAGTGTCAGCACAGCTCCGGTGTGAGAGCAGTCGAGTCAGAAAGATATGCTAAGTTTATTCTCTTCTCGGGTGTCCTAAAAGATTGCATTAGCTGCAGTTCCTAGAGTAAGTACTACGTAAGGTCATTGTAGGGGCAGCGGGGTGGCTCAGTAGGTTAAGCTGCTGCTTTGACTTCGCTCTTGGTCTCAGGGTCCCGCCATCCAGCTCCAAGTTGAGTCAGGCTCCTGCTCAGCGGGGAGCCTGCTGCTTCTCCGTCTCTGTCTCTCTCCTAAATAAATAAATCTTAAAAAACAAAATTCTATCACAGGATATTCGTGTTTATAATTAGTGTTAAGGCCAGTACACTAAAATAAAAGATCGGACGTTAGGAAATCTCAGGGGTTGCAGTAGCAAAATATTGCCGTTCTGTTTTCCACACTGAAGCTTCGATGATCTTCACAAAGTACAAATGTGGCCGTAGTCTCCTCCTCCATGGCTCCCCGTTGCGCCCAGAATAACTAATACGGAGTTGCACTGTGGATCAGGCGCTGCGCTAGGAGTTCGCGAGCCTCGGCTTGTCAGCCCCGCAGCTACCTAGTGGGCAGCGGCGTTCCTCAGCTTGTCGATGAGGAGACAGAAGTGGCTCCTGCCCCCGCCGGCCTCCGGCCCCCCTCAACTACGCCTCCGCAGTGGAGCCGCTCTTCTCCATCAGGCCCTCACCTGCTCCTCTTCTTGCGGCTACTCTCTCTCCCTCAAAGACTTCTTAATTCCCCCCCCCCCCCCCCCGCCCCGGGCCATGTCAGCTGTGCTTGCTCCTGTGTCAGCATGTCGCACACTGTGCGGCGGCCAGGCTTACCCCTCTCCCTTGCTACCCTGGATTGGCAGGGACTGGGCCTTCCCTCGCCATCGGAATCACCGCCCACCAAACATCCCGTCCAGTGCCTGGTGCTAAACTTATATTTGTTGGGTTAAAGATCATCTTTAGTTTTCTTTTTTAAAGATTCTATTTATTTATTCATGAGAGACGCAGAGGGAGAAGCAGGCTCCCTGCAGGGAGCCCGACGTGGACTCAATTCCGGGACCCCGGGGTCACACCCTGGGCCGAAGGCGGTGTGAGCCCCCCGGGCTGCCCCATCTTTAGTTTTCAATACAAGTCTCTAACGTATTGTTTTCTGTCCTGCCACCCTTCGCCCCATCCGTAGGGCCCTCTGTGATCTGTCGCTGTGCCCTAGCGTCGTGTCCTCAGCCCCAGGATTGACATTTTACGGATCTCCTGTGGTCTCTTATTTTCCCCTATCCTGGAATCGTTTACCCGTTCGTTTTCGCCCAAAGCAAATCCTACACATCTTCCAGGGTTCAAGTTAAGCCTCTCGTTCTCTTGACCCCCTCTATCTGAAGTCGGGGCTCTGGGCTTCAGAAGCACCCCATTGTCTAACATTCCCTGTTAATTACGCAGTGCCATGGAGCCTCTGCTCCGTCGTTCTTGGAACTTGTCATTTAAATCTTCCTAGTGAAAAAAAAATAAAAATAAAAAATAAATCTTCCTAGTGTTTTGGGCTCACCCTGTCCACCACAGAGCAAGTCTTTGAGGCCCACGACCACGTTTTGAACATCCCTGCCTCGTAGCTCCACGATGCGTTTATGAGACTTAGCACCTGTGAAGAGCCCACACTGTCTGGATCTGAATCCCAGCTCTGCAGTTGACTCCCTAGTGACCTTGAGCTAATCATCTACCTTCTCCGTGGCTCATTTTCCTCATCGTAAAGTTGGGAAAGTAATCTTCCTCCAGAGAGCTGTGGTGATGGTTACACAAGTTAATACGTCTTCAGCCTATAGCAGCGATTACTTAAGTGTTGTTGTACGGTGGTTAGTAGTAACCGTGATAATGATTTGAAAATACAGATATGTTGTCAGGATGGCCAGCCACAAGGTATGTATTAGCCACTGTTTGGATCAGTTTGTTTGTCACCCGGCAAACTGGTTTTGCTATGAGCTGGGAAAGGTCCACCAAGGGATGGCAGGTTCTGGGAGGAGTTTCAGTCCAGGTCGATGCTGTTGGCCTCAGCCGTGGGAAGCAGTGAGTGTCTGGAGAGCTCAGGCTGGACGTTGGAGGGTCAGGCTGGGCTGGCAGGACTAGAACCAGTTGTGACTTTTTCACGGTTTGGTTCAGCTATAAAGGAGCTCTGAGGGTTCAAAAAGTGGATTTTCCCCTTTTGCAGCTTCAGTACTGGTCTCGGGGCATTACTGAGTTATGATGGAAATGGCGCCAGGAGGACCGTCCTTTCTGTGTTATCCAGGGACTGGTTCCCTCCATCGCTGATAGTTATGTTGCTGCTACGTGATAGTGTCTGTAAATCTGACCTTTGGCAATTATTATTCCAAATGATATATTCAGGTTTACGGGTTTTTTCCTTCCTTGAAAAGCTGAATCCATTTCCATACTCATATATTCGTGGTTACCTCCATGTGCGTTTGAGCAGTTTCTATTTAAATGCATAATGAAGATAGCTATCAATTTTAACAAGAATGATTTCATCACCTGTCATCAATAATGCAGGAATACCTGCCAGTTGAATGACTCGGTGTAAGTACTGGTACGATGTCTTCCAGGTTTTAAGAGGTTGTGTTATATTTTCACAGTGTGGTGTTGATTACTGTCATTAGAGAGGGCTGGGTGAGAAAAATCTCTTGTCTAGTAAACAAAACCCCTTTTTATCCAAGTAGGATTAACTGCAAACCTACAGGAGAGATTTCTCAGAGAATTTCATAAATTTAATTCTGTGCATGACTTGAACTGTCTTCTCTCCTTTTAAAAGTTTCTTTAAAATTTTTTTTTTAAAAAAAGGCTCAGAGGTTTAAACAAAGCATTAGCTTAATGGGCTCCTGTTGTTAGACTCCTAAATAAACCAAATCTCTCCTCGGTTTGTAAACAGATTAAGTACTTCATCCAGCATATAAATATTTTTACTGCTTCTTTTTTGAGAGGTTTTATTTATTCAAGAGACACAGAGAGAGGGGGGCAGAGACACAGGCAGAGGGAGAAGTAGGCTTCCTGCAGGGAGCCCTATGCGGGACTGGATCCCGGGACCCTGGGGTCACAGCCTGAGCCCAAGGTAGACACTCACCCGCTGAGCCACCCAGGCGCCCCTTTTACTGCTCTTTATACTTGTTCTGTGAATCCTTATGGCAGATTAAATGTGATCGAAGTCAGCCGAAGCATGCCCTACTTTTGGGGCATATTTAAATTTTATTAAAATACAGAGGTGGTTTTGGTTTATTTGCTTCTTTTTGTCCCTGATCCTATGATTACACAGATAATTATAGTTAAATTGTATTTTGTCGCTGTATTAAATGTGACTGTTTAGTTTTTCTTTTCCCTCAAAATCTAAATATAACCTGAAAATATTAAGTCTAAACATTAATGTCCTGAATGGAAACTAAAAGTTTTTGTTTGTATTTTGAGAATTGGGATTCTTACAGAAGTTACTGGATGTGACATTCATACCAAGGTACCGAATGTTACAGGAGAGGAACCTTCCCTTGACTACTTTGCATTTGTTGATACTTCGAGAACTACTTGACATCTGGACTCATGGGACAAGGGAAACCTTGCATGACCATATGATAATCAAAAATCATTTGAATAAGATGGTGGGGAGTGAATGGTCTGGGAGAGAGTGACTCAAGGCCTAACTCAACGTCCTAACGTACGGTGTTTTGCAGCTTTGAATTAGCCTTTAGGCATCAGTTCTCATTGTCACTTGGACAAGCCAGAGACTTAGGCCCTTTGAAAAGGACCGTGTCCTTC